TCACCATTATTTGTCGTACTTCCCGATGCGGCAAAAGTTTCCCCGGCCGGAACCTAACTCACCAGGAAGCCCAGAATACACCGAAAAAGCGGATTTAACGATCGAAGTGTTAAAAACTATGTCCGACATGTTTCGAATGTACATTTTTTACTATAGTGACCGCAAAAGACGAAAGTGGTGGACATTTTTTTGTAAAATCTATGTTGAAACTTGTGGGACACTTGTTTTAACTACAAAATTGTCAAATCAGCAATTTCATTTTTTTCCGTGTATACCCGTGTATAGGAAATGAAATACTTCAGTTGGTACTCAAGGAATGAACTGAAATGTATGTTCGCTTGTGAAAATCGTGGAATTTCACTTCGGTACGGTCAGGTGAAACAGTGTCATAGGCAATTATTTACCCTCCAATTTACGAAAAATTCCCGAAATATTTACAACTACTCCGGAATGTGACTTTTTAATGTAATTAAATTTAAAATCGTAAAATCTCACATGAAAAGTTTCTGGAACGTTGAACAGTTGTCAATAATTTTCATCACTCATAATGCAACACCAAAATAAAGAAATACAAATTGTGACTCGATTTTTAAAAATAATAATTAGCGTGTTAATCATATACCCTGTCCCAGAAATATCAAATAACCAATAATGGCTCCTTTTTTTCACAACTGCCCCAGCCTCGGGAAACCTCGCGAAATATCCCGCAAAAACATCCCATCTTTCGTACTTTTATGGATCGTACTCCGTACATCAAACGGGTGAGATTGTATCAATATCGATTGGTTCAACATGTAAACGTAGCTTCAAAAGTAAATTGAGTTATCTGAGGGAACGCATTTTTTCTGTGACAGTTTTTTTTTTACATTTATGAGTACAAAACGGCAATGAAGAGAGAAGTTGTTAGGAATATTCGATTTCTTTTTAATTGATTATTTACCATAGCTTCGAATGGGATACTTACGATAGTCGACTATCACGCCTCGCCACTGGTCCAAGGAAAAGCGGAGTGGCTCCGGACTGAGATGGAAAATTTCATGAAAAATAAGATTTTTGAAATTTCACTTGAAATTTCACTTGAAATTTCATGAAATTTCAATGAAACCGTGAAAAATTAAATTCTAAGCTTGATTTTCATCAATTTTTTGATTCTAGTAATTTTTTCTGCCCAACTGCTTGCCACAACAAGACGAATATGCATAGGGAGTATTAGGGAGTCGTATCTCGTGCCCTCTTGCCGTCACGCAACAAAATGGCGGCTAAAATCGAAATGATTCAACCGTCGTTGTTTGTTTTGTCTGCATTCATGCCATAGATTTTTGGTACTGTAGATTTTTGCCGGTCAACTAAGACAAAATGATCATAAAATTCCTACCTTTACTTTCCGTTGTTCGTATTCTTTTGGCTCTAAACTTCATGTATTCACTGCGAAGAAAATGATTTTCAGTAAAAAAAAAAAAAAAAAAATAAAAAAAAATAAAAAAAAACGGTACTCAAACGTTACATACAATGCACTGAGCACTGGGCTCTTCATCTATAATTCTTGAAATTTACCATTTAAATGCAAATAAAGTTTAGCGCAATAGAAAAGAAAGGTACTTAGGTACAGACTATTTATTCTAATCTTAGAGAATAATTTTACCTACTGAAAAAAATAGCACAATCATGACTTTTTTTTGAGGGACACAATTGTTTTACGATGCCATATTATTTGTAGGAGAGTAAAAAGACTACCTGATTGGAAAGAAAGAAAAAACAGGCGTGGGGAACAATAAGAAAATGTATTATTATTAAATTTAGGAACATGAGTGAAGAAAAGAGATTAAGGGGCCAATAAATCAATTTTTCAAAAAAATTGAAATTTATGAGACCTTTTGAAATTTCAAGGGCGAACTCAGGCTCCGGATCGACTTCGGAAGAATGGAGGTGTTGCATGTGCGAGGAATTTGCAATTTGACTGTTGATTCTTACGTAAGAGTTCGCGAGAAACACGATGATGCCACTGGTTTTCTCTGAAATCGTCTCCCAAGCTCAAAAAAAGCTCTCAAGTTGAGGCCAAAATGGAGGGGATATCCCGCCCTACCCTGAGAGTCCACCTCTACATCAAAACAATCTCTCCATGCAAAGATAGGGAGCAAATACATTAGCAGGGTTGCCACTTTATTCGGGGACTCCAAGACTGAAAACACGACAACCTTGCGAATGTATTTGCTCCCTATCTTTGCATGGAGAGATTGTCTTGATGTAGAGGTGGACTCTCAGGGTAGGGCGGGATATCCCCTCCATTTCGGCCTCTCTTTGAGAGCTTTTTCTGAGCTTGGGAGACGATTTCAGAGAAAACCAGTGGCACCATCGTGTTTCTCGCGAACTTTTACATCAGAATCAATGCTCAAATCGCAAATCCCTCACACATGCAGCATCTCCATTGACGAGTGAGAGCGAGGGATGCGGGGAGCGTAGCCGATCGAACCGAACGTTACGGACCGAAGCGAGACGTCATTTCCGATGAGCCGAGTCCCGGCAAAGTTCCTGCAACTGGGTCTCCTCTCCATCCAGCTCCGATCCTACAATAACTAACTCTACTGCTCCACCTTTTTTTTCACCAAGACTCACCGACTCGGATCCGAGGGCTCGTAGCGTATCGTCGTCTCTCACACGAAGGAACCTAACTCAATTCCAACGTTGCCTAAGTGACTCGAACAGTTTCATTTTTTCCAAGAATGCACCCGTGCAATTTGTCTCCCAATTTCCCTGATTTTTGTACGAATTCAGAGGAAAAATCAGTGACATTTTCATTCAGAAATATCCAGAATTCTCCTGGTGGAAATGTAATTTTTTAAGAGGACATGTGGCAACATGGGAATGCAGTTACGCTCTTTCGTAAGGGGAACGACGAATTTTTCGTGTGCGCCTGGCGGTTCGCGATGATTACCTTTCTACCCGTCGATATAAATTATAAATTTTTTGGTAGTACCCTTCGATCTGTGATCAATCAATTTTTCCTCTGTTACAGACTGTGAAACACCTCTCAGTGGAGCGCTGCCTACCATCAGTACCTCACTTTCTGCAGGAAATGGGAACCACCTCTCTAATAATGCTACAGGTAAGAATTACTCAACCGAACGTCGTTATAACTACTCTTGAGCAAAACGAGAATATCCATTGTTTGTGTGTCATATGCGAAATGTTTATGTATAGTTTTCGAATTCTCTTGAAACCGTCCTTCTGCGGGGAACATAAGTAATTTTCTTTTTGTTTCCATTTCATTCGATTCTACTATTTTCTAGTAAAACAACAATATGGTCCTCATTATCACTGAACCGCCCAATTGCGTGTCATTTTCTTAAGATTTAAAACATAGGACAAAAAATCAATTGCTCTTAACATGTAGAGATGTAGGACCTCTTTATGTTGAAACGCACAATCCTCGGCCCGCTTGATCGTGCACAAGCACAACATAGCGCATCGCATCGTATGAAGTATGTAGCAGGCTGTGACGGAGCAGTTCGCGCGGTGTTTCAAAGTTCCTTCATTCCTGCAAGATACCATCCGCGGACTCTCGAGTACGAATAGTTGTATTCAGCTGTTAGTGCATTTTTTGAAGGCGCACACGCGGATATTTTGTAATTTCATGCTGTTCATCATCGTTTTCACTTGAATTGCTCTCGACGGAAAATGAATCGGAACTTTTCACTCTTTTCTTCAAGAGTTATAGCTCTTCTTACAATTTATTTTTTTCGTTCTATTCTATTTGACGGGTACACTCAAAGGCGAAGTTAAAAGTAAGTTTGTTATGTTTGCGTTGTCCAATGAATATTCTTTTACTCTGAGGGCCCCGTCGTTTACGTTTTTAAAGATGAAAGGAAAGTTTTAGAACTTTTCAGTAATGGACCACTGGACAAGGTACGAATTTTAGCATTCTGATACATGTTTCTTAATCAAATTTTCACGTAAAACACGACGCGGACAACGAAAATTACCGAAAGCAACTTCTTACGATGATATTTAATGATTCTTGATGCGTAAATTCAAACCACCCGCTCATGAAAACTCAATGCTCTACGTGATTCACATCACGCGCTAAACGTTATCATGACAGTCTCTGCGATATAAAAATCTGGCAATCTCAATCTTGACGCTTTGGCTCAGCTATAGCAAATTGCTCATAGTTTGAACAACACATGGAGGGAAATGAACATTGCTCGATTGAGAAGATTGCTGAAACCGTTGTGGGCGCGATTTAACTCACGTAGAGCTTTGAGTTTCTTGTGAGCGGGCAGTTCAAATTCATCGTAACCAATGTGAAATAAAAACGTTAATATCTTCGTTAAGAGTTGGTTTCAGTAATTTTTGTTGCGTGAATCGTGTTTTACGCAAAATTCTGGTTAAGAAACATGTATCAGATTGCTTAAATTCATACCTTGTCAAGTGGTCCATTGGATTGTTAAAGTCTGAGCTGTTAAAATGAATGAGCCAATCATCAACGTGTGAAATTTAAAATTTTTTAAAATTTTAAATTTTACGTACTCTTGTGTAGTGCTTTAAACTCCTTAACCGTTTTCATCAACGTGTGGAAGTCACCTTTTGTAATTCCGAGAAAAGTGTAAAGGGAGAAGATGTTCAGTAGAAAAAGCACATATGGCATCCTGTGGGCTGAACGGAAAAATTGAACTGTAATGGAATTGTGTAAAATTTTCAAGAATCGGGTCCCGCATTCCTCAGTAATGATGCTGCTTCACGTAACGGTTCAGTTTCTTATACGCGAATTCGTTGAATACGACAATGTCGGGAGTGTGACGCTGTTGCAGTTTTCGTCCGTAGATCTTCCAGATCGTATTCGACACATCATAACGGTGAGATAGACGCTATTAGTGGTGTCGTCATCATAGGGATTCTCCATCGTATCGAACTGGATCCAAATAATAACATTGGCGTAACCTGTTTTAATGCTATTAATGCAAAAAAATCGTTCATATCGCTTTTCTGTGACGTGGCACTAATAGCGTCTATTGTATCGATAACGATTGGTTCAAAACATAAACCTAGCCTCAAAAGTTAATCGAGTAATCTAACGGAACGGGTTTTCAGTGATCGATTTGTGATTCGTAGTGAGCACTAATTGGCAAAGAGTGGTGTGATTGCTACGAAATTTCTTATTTTCAGCTCTTCTGACGAATATCTTAAAATTTTGGTTTGAGGTTATATTCTATCGTTTTGAACCAAACGATACATCGAATCACTATCGAATACGATCCATAGTTTCACCCCGAAAACATGTTTTTCTTATCAGTCAATTACTTTTTCAACTGAGGGGCGTCGATGTTTATTCAGATCGCTCGCAACATCGCAGAACGCTGCGCCAACCCGCCGCAATTATTTTAATTTTTCCAGGTTCTCTGAGGCATCGCGACCTCCACGAATGGAGAATCCCTTCACTTCCTCCGCAGTGCCTAAGTCAAGAACGTCGTATGAACTTTTGCATGTTGCCAAATTTTATTTGTAGAATATTCGCGAATAAAAATTCGCAAAATTTCCAGACGCAAAAGGTCGCAATAATATTGAAATTCTCTTTAAATGTCCAACGACGAAACGACCAGTATGTAGGGGCGGATCCAGGAATTTGGCAACACTGGATTGCTTCCATTTAAACCTATACTAAATAATTGATTCTTGTCGGAGCACCTGGCCCCTCCAAGAATCGATATATTTCCATAGGTTTAGATGGAGAAAAGACAATGTTGCCAACATGCTGGATCCGCCAATGCCAATTTACCAGAAATTTCGCACTTTATCTGGAGATATTTTGGCAATGTCTCAAGGCTCAAACATGGTTTTTCCTCAGCACGGCAGAGTGAATACCCAAGAGGTTGGGGGCGATGGGGCATTACATGAAGGGGTTAGCGAACGGAGGCCCGACACGCTAACCCAAACGCCTCAACGCACAATGAGCCTTTCATCACCTCGAGTTAATCCAGTTTGCACTCAGTTTGCACGTGTGCGTTTAGGGGACGTACTTATGCTGAAAGGAATCACGCTTAGAATTCGTGTGCTTCATAGTTCCTATTAATGTTTCTATATATTAGTGTGCGTATTTCCTTCAAGCATAAATACGCCCCACTATGACTAGCAATTATGTTATTCTATTTTTCTCCTGGATTTCATGAAATTGTGGTACACTGAAAATAAAGATTGGTAGAATTTACCATTCCTTCACGCTGTATTTCACAAAGCGTGAATTCAAAGTCGATTCTGCCAGAGGAATGGTTACCTGTACCAGTGTATAGTAACGTTTACCTTTCTTCCGGCAGAATTGATTCTGAATTGACGCTGCGTGAAATACAGCGTGAAGGAATGGTAAATTCCACCAATCTTTTTTTCAGTGTAAAAATCTGGAAAAAGCGCCCATAAGCCCCGTTAAACGAAATAAGATGATTTGACCACCGTCCAGAGAGTTAATTTTGCATAATTTGGCGCTGAAGATACACTCATAATTTCAAGTATTGGCTCTTTAAGGGAATCTCAAAGTTGGAAAACGATAAATCGCCGTTTGGAGGAAACTAAGCATTATGTTTGCGAACGCTGAGTCTAATTTTAGCACGATTCATTTCAAACCCTTGTAATATCATAAATGATATAAACTACGGCTTGAAATTGGACGTATTTCTATCAAGCGAAAATATGTGCATTATGACGTGAGCCCTGTTATGCACATATTCGTGTGGGTCTCAGGGCTCATGTCTTAATGCACATAGTTCATTTTGACAGAAATGCGTCCAATCGTGACTCCATCTACTAGAGAGTCTTAGGTTACTTTCAACATCGGAAACTGAAAATCGATGTGTTTGACCCAAAACCGGGGTTTTCACAACAACGATTCAAGTTTTCATCATCAAGACAAGACCCTCCTGCCAGACTACATCACATTCTACAAATGGTTCATCAGAGTGTTTTCCATAAACTGAAGGAAAATGGGGTATTCCAGGAATTTTAACGTAGATAAGCAGGGATTATCCGAGTAAAGTGTAGGAATTGTAAAATTGGTGGAAATCTGTCAACGGTGTATGTGAGTCCTAGATATGGACTTAGTCGCGTTGTGCAACTGTGCGGCGTTCATCGGATTAACGACTAGCGCGGCTTGGGGTCTGCTCCCCCCCCCCTCCATGCGGGGGTGGTGAGGCGGGGCCGGGGTGGAGTGGAGGAATCGATTTTGCAAAACAGAAAATGCTTAACTAATACTCACGCTGTAAAGTGCACCGCGCTTGGCGCACAGACGGGTGTTTCTCGGCCTGCGAGTCGTACAGGCGTCTTTATGTCCGCTTCCTCCCCCGCATTGTTGTCAGATCCATAAAAACCACCTTTTTTGGATATTTGGACGTCGCATTCTGGACAAAGGTGCAACGTTTTAAAAAAAAAAAAAAAATCAAATGAATTTTGATATTGAAATCTTTTGGAACTTTTCCAGCAGAGCCAGGAGGCCATGAAACACCTAGGAATTATGGCAATTTATTTTTAAATTTGGTTTCAAAAAGAAGGGGAAAAAATTCAGGTGTAATCTTAAAGTTTCGAGTCAGCGGTTACCTGTTGCAAGTTGCCTTCTTAGGCCCTAATCAATGAAATCCATAGACTCTCTTAGCTAGATTAAATTTCATTTTTTATCTCTGGCACTGGCCAATGACACATTTCCACAGCTGTAATACATCTGTCTTGAGGAGCCACTGGACCTTCTTTTAATTGTCTCCTCTCCCCCCCCCCCCCCNCAATTTGTCGCGCCTCGGTGAAGACTTAAACGCGTGGTTTTCTAGGATTCTAAATATGCAATGTTAAGTGATTTGCGTAGATTCTGAAACTAGAGTCACTAAAGTTTTTTCTAAATCTTGAATGTTCCTTGACTAAGTTAGCATGATTCAAAATTAAATGAGTACACATTTTGATCACACAGAATGTTCACTACCCTCAAAATCTTGTCCCCGAGTTTCAGGAATGGTATTCCTAAAATCGGAGATAGCGCCGTCTCGCAAACGAAGGAACTTTTACACAGTTTATCGTTGCACGTACAATCACCTCGTGCGAATCATGTTTTTACTAGAAAACTGTTGGGCGTTA